TAAAGTTCCCCCATGTAAACTATCATATAATTCACAATAAAACATTAAAAAAAAAATTACCACTAGCTGCTAGGAAGGTTTTTTCAAATCTTTACATTTTCCAAATTATGTCCTCTACAAATATTGTTTATTTACCTCTTGAAATGAAAATATTTAAAATTTTATAAAATCAAGAACATGATGTTTTCAAAGAAAATTAAGCAGAATGGATTGGGGACGGGAAACAGGGCTCAAGACTTCTTGGGGAGAGGAATGAACATTTTCTTGGGAAGCAACAGGATGTCAGAACGAGAGAGAAGTCAAGGACAACTCCAGGGCCAGGAGCTCAGAGGGCCGGGAAGGCGGGGTGGGGAACAAAGCAACTAGCAGGTGAGTTCCCGTTTGTAAGCCAGGTAGTCAAGGAACCATTCAGTGCTCAAAAATTGGGAACTTTTAATGAAGGGGCTCAGGTTCCTTTGCTGTGGAGGTGGGTGTGTCAGCCCCCTCTGCTTCTCACCCACTGAGCATTTTCCCTGGTGTCAAATAGAACTGAGAATTTCAGAGTTTTAAAGCATCATCTTTGTGTCTCTGAAGACTGTTCTTAATAGATCAGGGTTAGTTTTCACTGTGAACTTTTTGTTGTTGTTAACTGCTGTTCAGTTGGTTCCGACCCATAACGACCCTGTATAGGATTTCCAAGGAGCAGCTGGTGAGCTTGAACCGCCGACCTTGCAATTCAAACTTAACAACATCCATACCATAATTCAAATCCCTTGTTGTTGTGTGCTGGTAAGTCGGTTCCAACTCACAGCGACCCTGTTTCCAAGGAGCATTTTGCGGTCTGGCGCATGAACCCACAGCACCACACCCAGACTCCACTGTGAATCTACAAGTGTTTTATTTGGGGGGGGAAAGAGGGGTAAACCTAACACTGCCCAGTCTTCCAAGCCTCCTCATTGGTGGATGGGTGACCATTTAGTTAACCTCCTTTGCCTTAAAAAGATTCTCTACTCCTGGGCCCAGAGTCAGTGACGTGGCCACGGAGGACTCAAGTGGAGAATGGAGCTGCCGACTGATGGGAAGAGAGGGCATGTGCACAAGAACACCCCACACTTGCAGATGACAGCCACGTGACCGGGACTGGATGACTGGATGATCAGAGCTCAACCAGGAGAAGATTGAGCTGATCCAAGCTGATGAACTTGACCTATGCATACGAATGCAGTGACACAAAAGAGGTGATAAATCCTTACAGCAAGAAACATTCCCACCCCCTCCACACACAGAGCAGACATAGAGGGACAACTTGGACATTGGATACCCAAATGGGGAGGGAGGGACTACAAAGGCAAGAAGTAACTGGCTTACAAGCCTTCAAGAGGGAACCTAGAGCTAGGGGGCACGGAGGAAGGCAGAATCACCAGTGAGTACTATCCAATTTGTCTAGGTGGAGCTGATGAAATGAAATACATATGGGTAACGTGTGATACTGTAGTGAATAATGGTTATCAAGACAGGTTGTGAGTGTTGGAAATGCAAGGGTAGATATTTTGTAGCAAGGAAGAGAGCGATTATTTCTCCAGTCTAGGAGTGGAGGTCTCTGGGACCACCAACAGATAAGAGCCGAGAACGGGACCCCACCCAGAGAACCGAGGATGCCTGAGATGGAGACAGAGATGATGACAAGGAGGGATGAAGCGGCTGGGGACTTTGGATCCGGAGAGGGAGAGGGACTGTGGGCCGAAGACTGAGGGGGTAGGGGGTAGTGTAGAACATGGGCTTTTAGGATATGCCCTTTGGTCAGAAGATGATGCATGGAGGGGATTGGAACCATGGCAATGTAATGATATACGATGGAATGAATATGGAACTGAGGTTCTCTCATGTAAACTATCATAAAAACAACGCAATTCCCTTCTCCTTCTGTTCACGAACTGACCATTTCGTCCATTCCTACTTAGTGCTGACACTGGCCTCCCGGGCGCTGATGCAGCATTGATCAGTAAAGGTCGACTTGCAAAACACCTTGAGACTCAGGAGAGCTACAGCCCCACTGGGGAATAAGGTGGGGTGTTCTCAGTTGCCTCACATGCATGCAGACTCCTGGTGTGGCATGTTAGGATCAGCAATGGACTACAAACCACCAGGTCAGCAGTTCAAACCCACCGGCTGCTCCTTGGAAACAGGGTCGCTATGAGTTGGAACCGACTTACCAGCACACAACAACAAGGGATTTGAATTATGGTATGGATGTTGTTGTTAAGTCTCCTCGAGTTGGTTCCGACTCATAGCAACCCTGTCTAGTTTCTAGAAAAGCAGCAGCTAAGTTTGAGCTGTCGACCTTGTGGATAAAGCTTGCAGTCAAGTGCATTAACCCACAGTGCCACACCAAGATAAAGAACATGAATTATACCAGGCACTATCAGAAGAACAAACACATCGGCCTTGGAGGTAGAGCCAGCCAGCAGGATAAGGATGCTCCTCAAAGCCAGCATGGTGAGACCTTTCACACACTCTGGATGTGGGATTAGAAGGAACCAGTGTCGGGAGGCCATCATGCTTCCCAAGGTAGGAAACCCACTCCTGCTGGGTCAAATCTGATTCATAGGAACCCGGTAAGGCAGGGGAGAATCGCTGCTCCGAGTTCCCCAGACTGTAAATCTCTATGAGAGCAGATGGCCTCATCTTTCTCCCAAGGAGCAGCTGGTGAGTTTGCACCTCTGTCCTTGCTGTTAGCAATCCAGCACTTAGCCCACACCACCACCAAGGTTCCTTTGGTAAAGTGGAGGGTCAGCATCAAAAGGAAGGGCCTCATGAGATGGACTGACAGAATGACGGTGCAGGATCCCATAGTGCTTTGCTGCTGTACATGGGGTCACTCTGAGTCAGGGTCTCATAACAACTCAAGACTAACAAGGCTGGAGATAACAGCCCACCAATCATCTAGGTCTGGTACTGCCCCTTGAGAAGTCCACATGGAGGAAGGTCTGTCCATTGTTGCCAGCTGGTCTAGGCTTCGCCTTTTGCCAAGTTGCTATGACCATGACGCATCTCCAAATCAATGTGGTGAAGTCATCAATCAGAAAAGCCTTCAGAGCTTCACCCTGGATGCACTCACCAAAAGCATGTAGGATTTGTTTACGGAAAGCCAACTGGTTCAGTAACTGTTCACTCAAATCACAACAGTGTTGCTTTTCAAAAGTTGTTATTGAAAAAAAAAAAAATAAAATGATACTAATCCACTGTGTTTCTGTGAGAAGTGAACATTTATACATGCCTGGGAAGGCCAACAAATCGTTGGGTGGTTACCTCTAGGTGGCAGGATTATCCACTTTGCTTATTTTAGTGACTGGGTTTCCCAGATGCAATACTTACTGCTTTTGTAATCGCAAAGTTACTTTTCATTCAAACAGAAGTCCTTCTCATTTGTTCTGCTTTTGGGTCCCAGAAGAAACTAGTGAAGTCATGAGAGGAAAGCAGAAACTTGGGTTTGCTTGACAGCTACTCACCCCAAGGGCTCACAACAGCCACAACCCCTGCAGGTCACACAGTGGGAAGGGACTCTTGGCTCCTGCTGCAATTACATAACCTGAGCTGAGCTGGCCCATCTTCCCAAACCTTGCTCTCTCCCTCTTCACAAACACGAAGATGCTTGCACTGGCCCCAATCCTTCACAAGAAGAATTCACGGATATGTGGGAAACACCACGGGTGCTCCAGCACAAAGGCCTCCAAGAAGTTAAGGCTGATAGTCTGCGGGACTTACAATGTGGTTCTGTTCAACAGCTCCATCGTCAGCCAGTTCTGACTTATGGTGGCTACCTTTTATTATAGAGACCGTTATAAATCCAATCTTCGAATACCTGCACATGAACATCTGAGAAGGACATCAGCACATTACATTGTAGGCTGCAACACTGTATGTAGAACCTATCACTAATGATAACACGTTAAAAAGGAGAGACAACAACAGATGAGAGGGAGTGAGGCTGTCATACTGGAAGCGTCAGTAGGTCAGGGACTACCTGTAAGCTGCTATACAAAGTGGCCAAAGCTGTGCTTCAAACATCTGCCTTAGTGGGGCCTCCAACTAACGTCAGCACCACAGATCCCTTAAGATCCCCCCCACCCCTCACACACACACACACACACACACACACTAGAAAAGCTAAGAGCATAAACTCATCCCATTCTGCAGCCTGTATTTCAGTTTAACTAACTTTTCCTAATAAGTAGTTACTTGGGGGGGGGAAACCACTTAGGTAACTAAAAACAATGCCCATAACTTGTCACAAAATCAACTGAATGGCTTATTCTACTTAGAAAGATGCTGCCTTGCTAAAAATAAAAGGTTTGCAGAAAACTGAGAACAATCGTTACTTCTGGCATCATTGGATAATACATTCCACGATTTTCATTTAGATCTGTTTGCAGTTCCTACTCTAGCATAAACACAAGACTAAGAAATAGTAAAACAGGGCTGCTTGCCTCCTAATCTGCTCTTCCCACCTGCCTTTTTTAATATGGAAAAAAAGAAAGGGAAAGAAAGAGAAGGAAAGAAAGAAACAAGGAAAAAGGAACTGTTTTGAGTTCATGCTATCAAAATAAAATTTATTTTCGATCTGTTAGCATGAACAGACATCAGTGTGTGCTATTTACACCTTAGCATATCACGAAATACCAAGTTTGATTCATCTGCCATTTTTGACTCAGAAAGCAAAAGAGCTGCAAAAGTAACACTGGATTTAATAGTGTTACCAAACTGCTTTGGGAACATGATAGTGTTGTCGAAAGACATCAAAGTCCACCGGGACACTCTGGAAACCTTTCCTGTGCAGCTCAAGAGAGTTTTGGACGGATTTACTGGGTATCAAGTTATCAGGCGAGGCGTGGGTGATTTTCATCTGCTACAAAGCTGCTCCCACGCCTGCTCTCCACACGGTCAGGGCAGAACCGGTCAAACGTGACATCCAAACTGAAGGGCAGTGCCTGCTCCCTTCCCGCTAGCCCCGGGAGCACCTGTTAAGTCCTCGCCCCGTTGTCAGTTGCAAGCTCCTCGGAGCGGTGGCTGGACTGTGGTTCTTCTCCCAGTACGCCCCGCAACCACTCGTCCGTGCCACTCTCCTCCCGCAGGTAGCACCAGGCGATCAGGGCCAGGAGGGAGAGGCTCAGGGGCAGCACTTTCCACCAGGGCCGCTGCTCCATTTTCCCCAGGGAATGTGCCACCGTCCAACGGGACGGGGTGGCTTTGCTGGAGGAAAACTGGATGGGCCGATTAAGGTCGTCCCCTTCCTCCCTGTCAGCCACCGACCCGACCCGAGCCCGGCCACCGGGCAGCGAGTGCAGGTTTTGGGAGGCCCAGCATTCGTGTCTCAGCGCCCGGGAGGCCCTGGAAGAGAGAGAGCGGTGAGCGCTCGGCCAGTCCTCCCGCTGACTCCCGCCGACTCCCGCCCACAGCACCGCCGAGACCGAGCGCAGCTCACCGGGCCACCGGCGCACACAGGACACGGCTCATCGCGACCTCTGATTCGCACCTGGCGCGGCGGCGCGCAGCCATCCGTCACTTCCGTCGCATATAACCGGAAATCGGTTGCCGCTCCGAGTCTGCAACTCACGACCACAAAACGTGGGCCCAGTCGCGCACCGGAAATGACTCATTTTCCCGTCGGTGTCTTCTGCCACAGGCTCCGTCCTCGCCTGGCCGAGAGTATATGCCGGGAAATGTAGTTTCTAGTCTAGCTGGGTCCTCGGGCAGCCACGCCGAGACAGGCTGAAGGGAGCCGAGGAGAAATGAGCCACCTAACGGATCCCGCCCGAGCATCCCTGTTAGGAGGCGCTTCTGCCATAGCGAAGAACCAGACGTGGACCCACGTGATCCCTCCCCAGGCCAAAAGGAGAGACTCGCCGCCCCCAAAACGTAGGCCAGGAAAGAGCGTCCGAAGCGCTGAAGACCACCGGAGACATAAGCAACTCATCCGTCTCCTCATATGACCCCAGGGATGCAGGCGGCCCCATACGGCACTGAACACAGACCCTGATCTGCTTTGGGATCCCTAGGGGGCTCTGGGGCTTTAATCCCACCAGCAACCCTCTCCTGTGCCTGCTTTGTGCTGGAGGACCCGGGCAGGGGTGACGGGAACCAGCACGACGACATGTGTGTGCACTGCCCAGCCTTGAACCACACTCTAAGCGGCTGTGCTAACAATGGCATCCGTCTGTCCTGTTTCTCCGCTGGGACCCAGAGCCCCATCCGAATCACCCCCAAGCCAACCCACCCACAGGGACCCTGGGAGAACTGCCCAAGGGAAGGCGGAGAGGGCTGGATCTTTCTTTCTGTGCAGAAAGTTCGGGGAACAGCGTTTGGGACAAGCGAGGCAGCCCCGAGGGTGGGGGTGGGGCTTCTAAGCCTCTTTCTCAGATTATTATAGAAACTAGACAGCTTCTGGTGCCTCAGCTTCCGCATATGTAAAATGGGCCTGGGCAGCGCTGGCCTGCTGAGCTCGTGGACGGTACCAAGGTCAGAGTAGCACCTCTTCCTCTCCCCGCTCCTGCCCACACACGCGAGTGACAGCTCTGCTGGACCAATCACCGCCGTGGCCCAGGATCCCACCCTCCTCGCAAGAATCATTACAATACTCCTCCAGAGACTGGCTCCTCCCCCTGACAGTACCAATCCAGAGCCGAGTCCCCTCCTTGGACCCGCCCCCAGATCCCACCAGAGCTGAGTTCTGTACCCGTTTGTCACATCCATAAGGAGGCCTGGTGGTGGTGCAACAGTTAGTTCCTTTGCGAACCTGAAGGTGGCAGCTCTCCGGAAGAAAGACCTGGCAATCTGCTCTCATGAAGATTCCACACTGCGTTGATTCCAACTCACAGGAATCCTAGAGGACAGAGTCGAACTTGTGAATGAAGTGAACATTTGCAGAGCAGTTTCCATTCAACAGTTCATACATTCTGTATTAATCCACACCCTGAAACATCACTTTGCCCCCATAGGGTTCCCAAGCCTGTGTTCTTTACCAGAGCAGACTACAGCCTAGAAAACTTTATGGGACCGTTCTGTCACATGGTGTCTCTATGAATCGGAATCAACAATACACGGAAAACATGATGATGACCCCATTTCTGTGGCCAGTACTAACCCCACCTTGATTCAGCACACGGTTGTCCCTCGGGTGACAGAAGGCTATCCTAGACCTTACCCGCCCCTCCAGTGCAATGGGACTGGAGTGTGAAAGGCCACAGCCCCATGGTCCCAGGGTGCCCCCTCCTGAACCCAGTGAGCTTGAGGAGGTGACAAGTGCTGTGGTGGCCCTTGGGCAACCTGCTGTGGTCCAGTCCTCTCTCTCCACCCCCACCCAGGGTATAAGCCAACAACTTGGCCACCCCTATCTCAGAACACACAGAGAAATTTCGAGGGAGGACTAATGTCCCTCTAATGGGGACACAGTGATATCAGCCCTTGTGTGTTGAATGCCCTGGGTAATTTATTGTAGCGCCTCTTGAGGGCTGGCATATTGGAGCTATTGATTTTCCCCGGGAAGATCAATACGTGGCTCAGGAGCGCAGCAGCAAGCCGACTTTCCCCAGGGCCAGAGCTCCGCTCTCTGGGACTGGGGAGAGACTTGAGGGTGGGGGCTGGAAGGACAGGCAGACCTAGCACTGTCCACAGCCAGAGGTGGCTGGGAGCAGATGAGGGACATAGGCTTGGTCCCCAGGCCTGGCAGCTTGTCCCTCAGTCCCACAACAGGGGTGCAGGGCACCCACCCAACACCATGCTCGACAGGCCTCCCCAGTAACATGTACTAGGTCTTGGCCTCCACGGCCGGACTTTGGTCTGTCACAACCACTTCAGACTAAAGGGAAGGTGGCTAGAGGGCAAACCTCACTGACCCTCAAGTCCCCGCCCACCTTTGGGCCTCACCAGCATTTGCCCAGCCTCACCGAGCTGGCCCCAAGACGCCCCAACACCCATCTGCTCATCTCTCCCCATTCCAGCATTCTCCTCTCAGGTCAAGTTCTTGTCAGTTTCCAAGAGAGGAGGAGGAAGGCTGCCTGGCAGAATCTAAAGCCTCACCAGGGAGGGTACCAGCACGGAAGGTTGCGAAACGGGAAGGCAGATGTGTGTACACAGTGTGTCATGCTGGCGGAGAAGGTCCCAACTCTGTTCCCGACATGCAGTCCCACACCCCAGGCCCCACCCTCCTTCACATGTATAAGTTTTCTGTGCCTGAGTGGCCAAAGACAGTGCATGTTTACTATCACACAGCTTAGAAATCAGTGTCTACACAGGTCTCTCTGGGCTGCTTCCTTCTGGAGGCTGCAAGAAGAATCTGCTTCTGGGCCTTTCCCAGCTGTGGCATCCCCTGGCTGAGGACGCCCCTCCATCTTCCATTGTCTTCCGGCCTTGGACCGCCCTGCCTCCCTTTTATGAGGGCCCTTGTGAGCAAACGGAGCCCAGCCGATACTCCAGAGTTGTCTCTCACCTAAGAGTCAACTGGGACCACACCTCCCGGTCCCCTTTGCCATGTGGGCTCACAGAGCCACAGGGCTCAGAGACTAGGGTGTGGTGGATGTCTTTGGGGGCATCACTCAGCCCATCACAAACAGCTCCCTAGAGCTCCTCCCCCACACTGGGGTTTCTCTCCTCAAGGACATCCTAGTCTCACTGCCCCTTGTACCTTGAGACCCTGAGGACAGAGACCGGTGCCTCCTTGGTCCTCCACCACTGACACCAGCCCATTCAGACTCCCATCTACCCACTATGGGAAGTGCAAGGTTGGGGAAGTCTGACCTTCCCTGAGATCTGAGAAGGAAGAAGAGTCCAGTACTCCACCTGCAAGCAGGTCATTCCTGCACTGACCAATAGGGGGCGGTGTTGTCAAATGACCACAGGGACAGTCCATAGGGGCCTCCCCAGGTCTCATCAGAGCAGAGGCTGCTGGGCTGGGGTAGGGTGAGCCACAGCCAGAACCCCGGGCACATGTCATGGGACCAGAGTCTTGGGGCAGAACAGTGGGCAAGACTGAGACCAGCTACGTATGGGGGGGACAGATTGCAGTAGGCTCTAGACTGATGTCGGCCCCACTCTGATGCTTAGATGCTGTCCTGGACCCTCAGCGTGGTCAAACCCTCCCTACAGCCTTCCCTGGGACCCCCAGAGACCCCTGGCCTATGCTGCCCCTCCCTTGTCCAGCATTAACCCACATGATTCTGCAGTGTCCACAGATTGGCAGACCACTCGCAGCAGGTCACAGGTCTGGCCTGAGGAGGCCTGAGCTTGGGTTTGAATTTTTCACTTTTCTGTCCCTGCAAAGTTGGGAGTCAATACCACAGCCCCAACACTGAGCCCCCCTGTGTCTGTCCTCCTGGGAAGTGGGGGCTTCCTAGGAAGGGTGGAAATCCTGAATGGTGGAAATAGTTGGTGAGGTTGCTGTTAACTGAAAAAAAGGAGGTTGGAGTCCACTCAGAGGCACCTCAGAAGAAAGCCCTGGCAACCTACCCCCCATCCCACCCCCACCCCCCGAAATCAGCCCCTTAAAACTCTCTGGAGCACAGCTCTACTACGGCACACACGGGGTCGCCCTGAGTTGGGTGAACTTCCACAACTGGAAAAACTTGGGGTGAGGCTGTGGTGGTCCCTACAGCCACCCTGTGGCCTGGCAGGAACCTGTTTACCCAGTACACGGGAGGCAGGATATTCAATGGAGAAGGCTACTCCAGAAGTCAAAATAGCATGAAATTTAATTTTCCGCCTATTTGACACGACCGGGTCGGGCCCCAATAGCTGTGGAGATAAGGACTCTCGGGCCAAGGGCAGGAGCCAGCTGGGCTTGCAGCAAACACTCCAGTGTCCCCTGGCAGGCAGTGGCCAGGTGAGCCGCTCTGAGCACACCCCTCCCCATTGGGGCTCTGGTTGCCCGGTGCTAAAGTAAACGGCTCTATTTGCTCAGTCTGCGATTACAATGCCGCCACCAACAAATATTTGCCAGTCCTGCGGGCCAGTCGCTGCAGCCCGGCTATAAATGCTTGAGCGCAGGTGGAGGGGGCCTTTCAAACCTTCAGGCCTCGTCCAGGTAAGAGATGGGTGGGAGTGGGCCAGGCAGGCCTAGGTCTCCCCTGGGGTTCCTGGGGGGCTAATACACCACTGGGGTTTGAGGGGGGTGCAGCCTCTTCATCCCGCCTTGCATAGCTGTGTGTGCTCTGTGCAAGATGGGGGTCGGAGGAGGTCTGGTTTAATGGGGACTGCTTACTCCAAAAGGCCACCACAGCCGGCTAGCCAGGGCTCAGAAAGTCAGGGGCTTATTGAGGCAGACTGTAGGACAAAGATGGGGCTGGGTGATGGGCATGCAAGTCTCACTCTCTGAGTGGCTAATCCCCCAAATCCCATGATAGGGCCATGGGACACCTGGGGCAGACCCCAGCTCTGTGAGCTAGCAGTGTGGGAAGGGCCACCCGAGGCTTCCGGTGTCTTCTGTCATGCAGCGCCCCCCCCAGCCACACATCCCCCGGAAAAGGAGGTGTCTGACTCTGGTCCCAGCTCTCTCGGAACCAAATGCCCTGCTCTTCCTCTTGCTGGAGTCCCCAATAGCCCATGGATGTGGGGGGTGGCTTCTGGGATTCAGAGTCCGTCCTAGTGTGTCTGATGGCCAAGAGGAGCCCTCCTGCCACAGAAATCTCCCGGTTCTACCCAAGACCAGCCCCCTGGAGCCCCACATGCTTCCTCCCTCTCGCTGACCCTCTCAGGCTGGGGACTCTGATGGGGTCCTCTCTATAGCTCTGGTACCTCAGAGGAGACAAGTAAAAGTCTTAGGGTGAGAGGAGAGACAGGAAGACTGGCACAGGGGTAGGGGGGGATGGTGGCGGTGGAGGTCAGTCCACCCACCCCTCTCTTGGAGATCCGAACCTGCCCAGCCCATGCCAGCAACTCTCCCTGGGCCCCAGTTGCTCTGCCCAAGCCCAGCAGACTCGGGCCTGTTTGTTCAGTTCTGACATCAGAGCAATCACAATGCGGGCTGGGGTCTCCACTCACAGAGCCTCCAGACCCCTTACACCCCAACCCATGCTTTCTCCTTAGCCAAGCTCTGGTGACCTCATCGCTGCAGGACATCCCAAAGACCCACTGATCTTTCCTGTTGACAATTCTGACCGTCTCTTGCTCCACACACGTACACACACGGGGCCCAGCCCTCCAGGAGCAGTCCCCTACCCCCCAGCCTTTCATAGCCCATCTCCTGCAAGACAGAGGGGAGAAAAGAAATGGTCTCCCAGACGGCTCACCTGTCCCTCTCTCCACCTGTCCCCAACAGGCGCCAGCTGCCTCGGAAGGCCCGGGCTTCAGGACAGCTAAGAGATGGCCGCTCGGGTGGCCCAGCCCCTCTGCGACTTCCAGCTGTCCCTACCTTTCCACCAGCCCTTCCTACCCTCGGAGCCCGAGCACCTGGAGACCTCAGAGGAGGAAGAGGAGGAGGAGGAAGACGAAGAAGAGGAAGAGAGCCAAGAGGAGGCGCAGGAGGGCGAGGACCCGGGAGATGGCGGCCTGTCCCCACGCAGTGCAGGTGGGACCCCAGCCTCCGAGGGTCCGAGCAGCCCGGAGTCTGCGCGGCGGCTGCTCCGCTTCTCCCAGCTCATCAGCTACGACATCAGGAGGTACTTCGGCCGGAAAGAGCAGGGGCCAGAGCCCGACGCCCAAGACATCCAGCGGGAGAGTCGCACAGCAGGCGGGTCGGCCCGGGAGCGCTATTACGCCGATCTGGCACGCGAGGCCGGTGGGACGCCCCCAGAACCCGCCGAGCCCCCCGCGCTGGGGCCGCTGGCTGAGCTGTTCGAGTACGGGTTAGGGCGCTGCGCGGGGCCCAGTGGGGGCCGCGGCCTGAGGTTACAACGCAAGTATGGCCACATCACGCCCATGGTCCAGAGGCAGCTGCCTCCGTCCTTCTGGAGAGAGCCGTCGCCCAGCCCCCTGGGCCTGCTGCACCCCGGGACCCCCGACTTCAGCGACCTGCTGGCCAACTGGACCGCCGAGGCTGGCCCTGACGGCCAGGGCCTGGAGGGGGCGCCGTTGTCCGAGGCCTAGCCAGTAAGCTGGGCACACAAAACTGTCCTATGCCCCCCCACACACACACACAAGCCCTCAGGGCGTCACCGGAGGAGGGGCTGTGCTGGACAGCTACCTCCCACTCCACCCTGGCCCCTCAGAGTGCGTCCACCACAGGACCAGAGCAGCTGATTGAAACCCTTCGAAGGCTGTGGCGCAGGGGTCTGGGCTGGGGTGTTATCACCCACAGTCAGCCAGACCTGAGCCAGCCCTAAGGTCGCCACTGTCACTGCCCACTCACCCTGGGGCCCTAGGGCTTCGAAGTCCCCTCGCGGCCACAGCAGGGGCAGGGCTGGCAGTTGGGTCAGGGTTTTCTGAAGAGAGGGTCGCTGTGCCCTGATTAGGAACTTAAGACCACTGTTTGTAGCTCACTTTTGTGCCCCCAGAGGCCCCCCTCCTCCACCTCGAGAGAACTCAGCAGGCTCCGCCCACAGGCTCGCAGCCCCTCCCTCTGGCCACCTGAGACTCCCGCCCCTCCTACAGAGTGGGAACTTGATGTGGGCTTTGGGAGTCACGAGACTCGGTTCCCCCCTCGCCGGTCCACATTAGTACCCAGAGTTCCTGAGTCACCACCCCAACGGGTGCCTGACCCCTTGCCCAGGGGGCTCTACAGCCTGGCCTGGCGGTACAAGCAGGAGGTGGGGTCCTTCAGGGGTCTGACACGAATCGGAGGAACTAGCTCATTTACTGCTGAATAAGGGGCAGACACCGAAGGTGTGCACTCGGCTCCGGGCCACAGGACTAGTTCGTCCTCCGTCGGGGCACCAGGCTCATGAGCAGCGCCTTCCACTGCAACCACCTGCAAGACAGCAGCTAGGGGAGCATCCCTGGACCCCCGGCCTCCCCTCCCGGGCCAGCCCTGCTGCCCACCTGGTGGCCTGGTACAAGCCCCACTGGTTCACTGAGGCCAGCTCGCTGAGGGCGACGTCCTTGATGAAGAAGCGCTGGCGCACCAAGGACATGAGGACCCTGCGGCTGCCCAGGGTCAGCGCCCATGGACCCTCCTCGCTCCACAGCCGCATCACGCTCTCCCGCAGTGTGGCGATCTCCTCCACCCGCTGGAGGGACAGAGAGGGAGGGGGCCGGCCGAAGGAATGCCAGAGTCTGGCAACCAACAAGGGACTTATCTTCCGGCCGCTGGCGTTGGCCAGGAAGGCCTTCTCCAGTGGGAGACTCGGACAGACTGACAGGGAAGGGCAGCTGCTCACCAGTTTGGTCTCCGTATTAAACTTGAGGTTCTGAATAGTCTTGTTGTCCTGGAGGCTGTTTTCCAACTTCATGACCTGGTTCTGGAACTGAAGGTAGCCCCTCCTTACCAGCTGGGTGCCCCACTCACATCAGGCAGGACGCCCCCCCCACTTTCTCCTGACCATGACAAGATGGGGCAAGAAGTTGACCCCTAGTGGGGTCCAGCCATAGTCTTGAGGCTGCCACCTGGGAGTCAGCCAGCAGGACAGCGGATTCTGAATCAGACAATGCCCCCTGGGCTGGGAGACACTTTCTAGGCATTCTCTGCTCTCCTGGCCCCCAGCCCAGGGCTCTGCGTACTGTGGCCAGCTTGCCCTGGATCTCTGCGATCTTTCGTGCAGGGTGGTCCTCCTTAAGCTGCTGCACCGAGGTCAGCAGGGTGGACAGCTCCTGCCGCAATGCCCCCACCTCGAACTCCCTGTGGCACGGACGACAGGGCGGTGGCAAACTGGGTCAAATGGAGGGAGGCTGAGTTCCAGAGCGGGGAGGGGGCGAGGCATGGCAGAGCATGAGGGGGGCACTCAGCAGAGCTCTCTTCCGTGGAGAGGGTCCAGGTGTGGTGGTAGGAGCTATGAGCACCTGCACTGGAGGCCCAAGCCGGACACAGTAAAGCCAGCCCCCCTCTGGACAAGGCTTGTGGACAAGCCGATGGTCCTCTGAGCTCCCGGGGGGAGTGGCTGAGCCTACTGTCCTCACCTAGCTTTGCCCTCGTTGGCGATCTTCAGGTCTGAGTCAGTCTTGTGCAGGGCACACTTGTCTGAGACACCTTCTATCTGAGAACAGGTGGCTGGGCTCAGGGTGGGGCAGCCTGGAGAAACCACCCCATGCCTGGCCAATGGAGCACCGTCACCCCCATCCCAGCCCTGCCAGCAGAGAACAGGCAAGTAAGGGAGGAAGGGGAAGGGAAGAAAGAGAAGAAGAGGGAGGGGGAGGAAGAAGAGGAGGGAAGGGAGGGGAAAAGAGAAGGGGGAGGGTCCCCAAAGCCAGCCATGCCCAGGTGAAGAGGGGACAAGGTGTCCATCTCCCACCCACCTGCCGGGGGAGGCTGTCCACCTTCTCGCGCACCTCCCTCAGGTGCGCCTCAGTCTCCTGCCGCCACCGAGTTAAGTCCTCCAGGGGCCTCCTCTCTATGCCTTCCCGTTCACTCTTCATCTGAGACAGGCACCCCAGTGAGGGGCTGAGGGACCCCTGAAGGAGGAATGATGAACTGAGGGATGGGCCCCTCCAGTGGAGGACATGGGGGCCCCAGAAAGTGAGTCTGTGAGTCACAGAAGTTGACACCACGGGCAGAGAACACTGGGACAGGTACCACCAGCACCCAACTACCTCACTCTGGGTTAGAGTACAGGCTCCAGGTTAGAACACAGACTCTGGGTTAGAGCACAGACTCTGAGTTAGAGCACAGACTCTGGGTTAGAGCACGGGCTCTGGGTTAGAGCACAGACTCTGGGTTAGAGCACACAGGCTCCGGGTTAGAGCACGGGCTCTGGGTTAGAGCACAGACTCTGGGTTAGAGCACGGGCTCCGGGTTAGAGCACGGACTCCGGGTTAGAGCACAGGCTCCGGGTTAGAACACAGGCTCTGGGTTAGAGCACGGGCTCCGGGTTAGAGCACAGACTCTGGGTTAGAACACAGGCTCTGGGTTAGAACACAGGTTCTGGGTTAGGGGCACAGGCACACAGACGTGCACACAGCCCAGGGAGGTCAGGATGGCAGGCTCAGAGAAGGAAAGGGGGTGGCTACACAGCCCCTCCATGAAGACCCTGCTGTGCATGGAGTCGGCAGAGCATGAGCAGCCTACACCCACAGAGAGAGAAGAGGACTAGCTAGGCCACCAAGATGAGTTGGGGCAGTTCTGACCACACCCACCCAGGAGGCACATGGGACAGGCCTTGGTAGGAGACAAAGGGTGATCACAGACATTCACTGCAGCCAAAAGGGGATGTAACCTAAGTGTTAATCAGCGATGGATGGATCAGCGGTCCATCACACAAAGGAACATTTCTCAGCTACAAAGCGAAGGAAGGTCTTCAAGCACGCATCCACACGGATAAACCTCGGAAACAACGGGCTTAATGCAATAATCAGACACAAAAGGGCAGCTACTGTATGACCCTACTTACATGAAGTATCTGCAACAGGCAAACGAACCGAAACAGAAAGAATACTAGTGGTTACCCATCTGTGTGTCATACTGGGGTGGCTTGTGTGTTGCTGTGATTTGGAAGCTAGCCCCCAGTATTTAAAATATCAGCAAGGGTTGCTCATAAGGTTTCAGTGGAGCTTCCCAACTAAGAGAGACGAGGAAGAAGGAGAGACAAATAACTTCTGAATGTTTAATCACTGGAAAAGTCATGAATAACAGTAGAACATTGTCAATTTTAGTGCCAGAAGATGAGCCCCTCATGTTAGAAGGCACTCAAATTACAAATGGGAAAGAGCTGACTCCTCAAAATAGATTTGACCATAATGACACGCATGGAGCAAACCTTCCAGACCTCCATTTACTCATGGGCACAACTCCAAATGAGGAGAAACAGCTGTACACATCCGTTAATAATCAAACATGGAAGACACAACATATGAATCTTGGAAAACCGGAAGTTGTCAAAAATGAAATTGGCCATTTTGAATCTGAGAATCATATATTTTACTATGCCAGGAACTACAAATTGAAGAGGAATGACACCCCGTTCATTGGGGGACCTGTCCTGAGGTACACTACTGTCTGTGATAGGAGAATATTCATATACCTACAAGGAAGACCAGTTAATACCACTATTATTCAAATTTACGCACCAACCACTAAGATCAGTGATGATAAAACTGAAGAACTCTATCAACTTCTCCAGTCTGAAATTGATCAAACATACATACAGTCAGGATGCTTGTAATATAATTACTGGAGATTGAAATGTGAAAGTTGGAGACAAAGAGGAAGGATCAGTAATTGAAATACATGGCCTTGGTGATGGAAATTATATTGGAGATCACAGGGAAGAATTTTGCAAGACCAACAACGTATTCAATTGCACATACCTTTTTTAAAACAAAAACTTTACACATGGAGCTCACCAGATAGACTACACAGGACTCAAATTGATTACATCTGTGAGAAGAGACAGTAGAAAAGCTCACTATCATCAGCCAAAAGAAGGCTGGGGGACCATTAATTGTTCATATGCAAGTTCAGGCTGAAGCTGAAAGAAAATGAAAACAATCATGAGAGCCAAAATATGACCTTGAGTATGTTGTTGTTGTTGTTAAGTGCCGTCGAGTCGGTTCCGACCCATAGCCTGTACAGGGTTTCCGAGGGTGTAAATCCTTACGGGAGTAGAAAGCCTCATCTTTCTCCCGCGGAGCAGCTGGTAGTTTCGAACCGCTGACCTTAAGGTTCGCAGCCCGATTCGTAACCACTAAGCTACCAGAGCTACCTTGAGTATATGCCACCTGAATTTACAGATCATCTCAAGAACAGATTTGATGCACGAGACACTAATGACCAAAGACCAGAAGAGTTGTGAACACCATACAGAAGAAAACAAAGGGTTATTAAAAGACAGGAAAGAAAGAAATGACCAAAATGGATGTCAGAAGACTCTTGGAAACTTTTCTTGAGCGTAGAAAACTAAAGTGAATGGAAGAAATGAGGAAGTAAAAGAGTTGAAGAGGAAATTTCAAAGGGCAGCTTGAGAAGACAAAGTCAAGTATTATAATGAAATGTTCAAAGGCCTAAAGTTAGAAAAACAACCACAAAGAGCATGCTCAGCATTTTTCACGCTGAAAGAACTGAAGAAGAAAAAATTCAAGCCTCAACTTGCAATATTGAGGATTACATTGTCAGGAGGGACCGGCCACTGGAGAAGGATATCATGTTTGTTTGGTAAGATGGAGGGTCAGAGACAAAGAGGAAGACATCCAATGACATGGATTGGCCAAGTGGCAGCATCGATGGACTCAAGCATGGCAACAATAGTGAGGTAGGCCCAGGACCGGGCAGTGTTTTGTCCTTCTGTGCATAAGTTCGCTATGAGTCGGTACCGACTCGGTGGCACCTAACAACAACAACAAATGGGCAAAATATTGAACGATGCAGAAAACATCAAAAGCAAATGGAAGGAATTCAGTCACTGTACCAAAAAGAAATGGTCGATGTTCACCCATTTCAAGAGGTGTTGTTGTTGTTGTTATGTGCTGTGGAGTCGGTTCCGATTCATAGTGACCCTGCACAGGATTTCCGAGGCTGTTAATCTTTACGGGAGCAGAACGCCTCATCTTTCTCCCGCGGAACCGCTGGTAGTTTCGAACTGCTGACCTTATGGTTCGCAGCCCGATTCGTAACCACTACGCTAGCACATCACTAAGAATCAACAGTATTAAAGAAAGACATCCAAGCTGCACTGAAGGCATTGGAGAAGAGCAAGACTCCAGGAATTGATGAAATAAGAATTGAACTTTTTCAGCAAACGGCTGCAGCGCTGGAGGTACTAAGTCATCTCTGCCAAGAAAATTAGAAGACAGCTAGCTACCTGGCCAATCGATTGGAAGAGATCCGTATTTGTGCCCATTCCAAACAGAGGTGACCCAATGGAATGCAGAAATCATCAAACAGTATCATTAATATCACATACAAGGAAAATTTTACTGAAGATAATTCAAAAACAGCTGCCAGAAATTCAAACCGGATTCAAAAGAGGATGTGGAACTAGAGAAACCATTGTTGATGTCAGATGGATCATGGCTGAAAGCAGAGGACACAAGGAAGATGTTCACTTGTGTTTTGTGACTATGCAAAGGGTTTTAGACTTAATAAACCATGAATAACAGTACAAAAACCAGGTAGTCCACATTTAATTGTGCTGGTGAGGAGCCTGTACAGAGACCAAGACGCAGTCATTAGAACAGAGGAAGGGGATGTTGGATGACTTTAAATCAGGAAAGGTGTATCAGGTTGTATGCTTTCACCTTATTTATTCAATCTGTATACTGAGCAAATCATCCAAAAAACTCGATTATATGAAGAAGAACATGGCATCAAGATTGGAGGAAGACTCATTAACAACCTGCGACATGCAGATGACACAATTTTCCTTGCTGGAAGTGAAGAGTACTTCAAATACTTACGATGAAGATCAAAGAGCACAGCCTTCAGTAACCAGAATCCACACAATTGGACTAATAAATAACATCATGATAAATGGGGGGAAGATTGAAGTTATCAAAGACTTCATTTTGCTTGGATCCACAATCTATGCTCATGGAAGTCAGGGTCAAGAAATCAAATGATTTCTTTAGGCCTTGGGCAAATCTGCTACATAAGACCTCTTTAAAGTGTTCAAGACCCAAGACCTGGTATTTTCAGTGGCCTCATTTATACATGAAAATTGGAAAATGAATAAGGAAGACTGCAGAAGAATTGGTGCATCTGAGTTATGGTGTTGGAGAAGAATATTGAAAATACCACAGACCACCAGAAGAACCAACAAACCTATGTTACAAGAATGCTCCTTAGAAGCCAGGATGGTGAGACTTTGCGTCTCATACTTAGGACATGTTATCAGGAGGGACGAGTCCCTGGAGAAGGACATCATGCTTGGTAAAGTGGAGGGCCATCAAGAAAGGGGAGCACTCCTAAGGAGATGTATTGGTGTAGCTGCGGCAGCCAGGGTCTCAGATGTAACAGCCATTGTGAGGGTGGTGCGGGCGGGATGCACAGGGTTTTGTGTGTCTGTTGTGCACAGGCTCACTATGGGTTGGAACTGACTCAAGGGTACCTAACAACAACAAAAGGGCTAAGGGGAGGTGGTTGGGGTGAAGACTGAGAACTGTGGACTTCCTTTTGAGAAGGTGGACATGTTCTAAAATGGACGTGTCTGTGGACATACAGGAAACCACCAACCGTACATGTTCGATGGGTCATCTTGGTAAAGCCGCTCAAATCGGGAAACCCAAAGGGCAAGTGATCCCTGGAGCCCGAGACTGCCGGGCTTTCTGGGGGCCTCATCAGCTGACACTGGCTGAGGGGGGGTCATACAGGGAGGTTGTACCTGCACAGTAGGTCTTCAGGTGATCACTGGGTGAGGAGGAGGGCTCCCCTGTCATCTTCAGGGCCCCTCCAGAGTGTCCCCTTGCCCTCTTGTCCTGCTCTGAGCTCACCTCGGACAGTCGCAGGTTCAGCGTCTGCTCCTGCAGGTCTATTCTCCAGCTCAGGGCCACGAAGTGGTCAGCCAGGTCCTTCACCTGCCTGGCCAGCTCCTGGGCAGACACCTCCAGGGCCTGACTCTTCTCTTGAAGCTGTGGGTAGTGGAGGCCCCGCTGAGGCCAGGTGTCCATGTGCGTGCAGGGAGACTGCCTGACCCCTGTCACTGCCCACCCCAATGCCCCCAGCTGGGCTCACCAGTTCCAGTGCACTGCTTGCCTCCTGCTGGGCCAACTCGCCTGCCAGCCGCAGTGCTTCCAGGTTCTCCTGCAGGTAGGTGGCCAGCTCCCTGGCCTCGCTAGTTTCCACATGCCCCTTGGGGTCCCTGAAGTTGGGGCCACCAAGACGACGGCCCCTCAGCATTGGGGCAGGGAGGAGAGGCTGCCATTGGTCTCTGAACTTCTGGGAGAGCTGGGGAGCTTTTACTCAGGGAACCCAGGGGGACGGACCGTGGACAGGTCGTACAGGGAGTGCCCTTGCTGAGCAGGACTATACCCCCTCTGGTCCATTCCCAGGGTCCCTGCTCCTGGCCCCATTCGAACACCCACCGGGCCTGTAGGACGTGGTTCAGGGACACCTGGTTCTGCCGCACGAACTTGGTGAGCTGGACCACCGCCCGGTCCAGGCCCCGACACTGTTCCAGAAGGTGCGATTCTTCCCGCTGCTGTGCAGAGCGGACCTGAGACCTCACCCAACCCGGACCCGCCGTCACCCTGCCCCACCGGGACCCAGTCCCCGCAGTCCTGACCTCACGCTGCTCGCGCAGAGACAGTAGATACTCGGCGTTCCTCTCCTGTAGCTTCTGCCAGCGGGTCTCCAGCTCCTCCCACAGACTGGTCTCCGTCTGCTGCCGGGAGCCCTCCGCGTTCTTCATCTTCTGTGGGCGACGCACACTGCCGCTGTGAGCCCAAGTCTGGCAGGCCCCTCCCGCGTCCCAGGTCTCACCTGTACACTGCACCCCACAGCCCTGCTCCAGCCCACACACCACCCCAACTGTTGGTCAACCCCACACTTCACTGCTTTCCTTCCGCCATGCCCATTGGCCCCGACCCTTGCCATCTGTTGCCACCCCACCTATGTCCCACCTGGCCTGTGCTCTGCCCCCCACTTCCCCCCTGCTCCCACCGCACCTTACCCGCCGGCCACATCCAGACCCCACCCAATCAATGCACTGCGTCACCTCACCTACGACCAGTCTGTGTCCAAACCAGTGCCCTGCCCCAGCTGCACCCGTCTGACTGGCATCGCCCAGCCCCCCACTAATGCGGTGCCCTGCTCTTGGGCACCTTCTCCAGGGCCAGGAAGCTCTTCTGCAGGAAGCTGCACAGCTTGGCCTCCCTCTTCAAGAAGCGCAGGCTCATCTCCTCCCCGAGCTTGGTCACCTGCGCCTGTGGGACCACCTGGGTCACCGGGCATCCCTGCCTGGCACACTGACTCTGCATCCCTGTCCCTGCACCACCCACAGGGTCCACCCACAGTGTCCACCCACAGAGGACCAGGAGGGGGACTCTGCGGACTGCAAGAAAGAGCTCCCAGCTGTTCACTAGGACCACCCACTTGCGTGCAGTGTGGGTGTGAGCATGTTTGTGCACAATCTCACACATGCATACTCATACACACATGAGCACATATACAGACACATGCACACACATCCCTGGAAGGGGAGCCCCCAAGCCTAGGACAGCCCCTTCATGCCTGCTATCCAGGGCCACCAACTCCCTCGAGGAGAACCCAGAGTCACCCCGAGTTGTCCCTCCACTCCAGGACTGTACGGGGCCCCAGTCCTCCCTTGGTGACTCCGCTACCCCAGATTGTAAGACACGGGAAACGACACCCCTGCGCTGTCAGACTGCCTGGTGCACATGACACACGGTTTCCACAAGGCATCCACAGGGGCACAGGGCAGGGTGTGGTCTGCATGCCAACTTCTCCACTGTGTGGGCACAGCTCAGGAGGAGCCACGGCCAACACCAGCAGCACATGTCTGTGCCCATGACATTGTACTTACAACACTGATTTGTGTGTGTATGTATTTATATTTATCATTTTATGTTCTTTATTGTTAGTATGGCATGTTGGTGGCACAGTGGTTAAGGGCTCGGTTACTAACTGAATGTTCAGTGGTTCAAACACACCAGCTTCAGTGGGAGTAAGACACAGTGGTCTGCTCCCATGAAGATCTGTCGTCCTGGAAACACTATGGGACCGTTGGACTCTGTTCTATAGCATTGCTGAGTCCAAATCGAATCGACTGCATAGCAACAGGGGTTTTATTGGGGGGGGGGGCATCCCTCCTTTCTTATCTTCTTTTTTCTTCCTTCTTTCTTTTTCCCCCGCCCCCGTCCCTCTTTCCTTATCCTCTTTCTTTCTTCTTTCTCTTTCTTTTTTTTTTCTTTTTAAATTTCTGAGCTGCACTGTTTATTTTTCTGCTTGACCCCTAGGCCATTATAACTATGGGGTTTCATCTAAACCTTTACTACATACACCACAGGTACAGAAATATATGGACACATTTTTTTTTTGAGAATCGACATTTTGCAAAATGCAGCAAACATTTTGATTTTAATTTATACATGAGAAAAGGAACTGTTCAAAAGGTTTTTAATGCAATTGTTAAATTAAATCATTGTTAGTGCGTCCTGAAATTGAGACACTTAGCCTAATTTGACCCAATGAGACTGACCTTGTGAAGCGGAGAAGAAAGATGAGCTATTTGCACTCCTCAGTACAGCAAGACAAGGGTGGGTGAGACGCAACACCCTTGCTTAGCTCACAGACCTGATTTGAAATTAGGGTTTCCCTAGGGTGTGGCCCGCACAAAACGAGGGGCCTCAGCACCATCAAGAAGAGAACTGGGAGCTAAGCTCATCATTGGAACCAGAGGACCCGCAGGGAGGATTGACGCAAAGGGCTCCCCCATGCTGAAGGACCATCCTCCTAAACTGTGAGGTGACAGAAAGTGTTCCCATAAAGTTAGTGCCCTGGATTCAGTCTAGGATTCCAATCTGGGAGAATACCTGTTTATCTGTTAAAACCATCTAGTGCTGGTATTTCTGTTAAAGAAGCACAAAGTAATTATGACATATCTAAACCACTGCCCCAAATTCCTCAATACCCTCTTAAATCAGATGTCACAGAGGGATTAGTTCCCATTTTGCAGAACTTTCTTTTTAAAGACTTAATTATCCCTCACACCAGCCCTTGTAATACTCCTATGTCGCCTGTTGAGAAACAGAAACCGGAGGTTCTATCAGTATTTGAAGGTAATCAACTACATTATTACTTCTAGATTTCCAATAGTCCTATTTCTGCACTCACTGCTCTCTGGTAACTGCAGACACAACATGTTTTAGTGTAATTGATCTTTGTCGTGCCTTCTTTAGCGTTCCTGTACACCCAGAGAGCCAGTATATGTTTGGCTTTATTGGGAGGATCAACCATTTAGACAGTAGTATCTGTTTTTTTTACTTTCCCACCTATTTTTCACAAATCTTATATGCTGACTTACAACCTTTTGCTATTTAAGAGTGGATCTAAATCGTTACAATATCTGGTGAATTTGTAATATGCTCATACTTCCAGAAAGCTGCATTGGGGACAGTTATAATTTTGTTAAGATATCTGGGGACACAAATTTTCTATTGAAAAAATACTATTGTCCACAGAGGACTAGAGTGGAGAGTGAAGCGTCCAGATAAGAAGTGAGGGCATGTGCACAAGAACACGTACACTTGCAGATAGTACCCCCCTTAACCTGGCTTCAATGGCTGGATGATCAGAACTCAACTGGAGGAAGAAAGAAGAAAGAAGGGGGGAAAAAAAGAGTAATCTGATACAATTTGATGAACTTGACCTACACCTATGGATGTAGTAGCTCAAAAGAGGGAACAAATATTTACAGCGAGGATCATTCCCACCCCCTCGATACACAAGGTAGACAGGGATGGACAACTTGGACATTGGCTACCCAAAATGGGAGAGCTACAAAGGCAAGAAGTGACTGGCTTACAAGCTTTCAAGAGGGAGCTTAGATCCAGGGGGCGCAGTGGAGGGTGGAAATCTCCACTGAGTAGTATCCAATCTGTCTGGGTGGGGCTGATGAAAGGAGATGGGATAGCACTCATGTGGCACAATAGTGAATTGCTATCAGGACTGACTGTGAGGGTTGGAAATGTAAAGGTGGACGTTTTGTAGCAAAAGGAAAGGAGTGATTGACTTTGCAGTCCAGGAGCAGAGGTCCCTGGGACCATCAGGGGAGAAGAGCTGAGTGCAGGACCCTACCCAGAGAAACAGTGACGCCAGATATGGAGGCAGAGATGATGATGTGGAGAGATGGAGCAGTTGGGGACTCTGGACCCAGAGAGGGAGAGGGGCTGTGTGCTGACAACCAGGGGGCAGGCTTATAGGATATACTCTTTGGTTGGTTGATGATGCATGGAGGAGATTGTAACCATGGCAATGAAACGATATACAATAGGATGTATGTAAAGCTAATGTTCTCCCATGTATCTCTCGCATAATTCACAATAAAAACTTTAAAAGAAAAAAAAAGTGAGTTAATGATTGTTGTTGTTATGTGCCGGTTCTGACTCATAGCGACCCTGTACAGGGTTTCCTAGGCTGTAAATCTTTACGGGAGCAGAATGCTGTTCCTTAGCACCGCTGGTAGTTTCAAATTGCCGACCTTGTGGTTCACAGCCCGATTCATAACCACTACGCTACCAGAGTTAATGATACAAGTACAAAAAAAACCCCACTATTGTCTCAGCTTTCTATTAAATATCTTGTTAATGTTGTTAGGTGTCATCAAGTCGGTCCCAACTCAGCGACCCTACGCACAACAGAACAAAACACTATCCAGGCCTTCGCCAACCTCACAATCATGGCTATGCTTGAGCCCACTGCTGCTGCCACTGTGCCAATTC